CACAAGCAGGTCCTGTCCCAGGGTTAACTTGTTAGCATCCTTAACCAGCAGGGCCACTACTGCTATAATTCACAGGCAGGGGGGCCATCCAGATGCTACAGGGTCTAATTTCTTTGATAGGTATGCAATAGGTCTCTTCCAGGGGCCTACTCTCTGGGTGAGGACCCCTTTTGCAATACCTTTACGTTCATCCAAATGTAGACAGAAAGGTTTACTTATGTCTGTTAGTCTTAGGGCAGGGGCCTCTAAGAGCTTGCATTTTAGGGTTTCAAAGGCCTCTTGCCTTTCCTGCGTCCAGTTGAAGTCCTGCCCTTCCTTGGTAGCCTCATATAGGGGTTTTGCAATTTCGGCGAACCCCAAAATCCAGAGGCGGCAGAACCCCGTGGTACCCAGGAATTCCCTCACCTGTTTTCTGGAGGTCAGTGCAGGTATCTTTAGCACAGTCTCTTTGCGGGCCTTAGTCAACCACCGCTGCCCCTCCTTGAGGATGTACCCTAGGTAAGTCACTTCTTGCAGACATATCTGAGCTTTTTTTGCTGAGGCCCAGTATCTCAAGTCCCCAGGTATGTGGAATAATTCCTCTGTCCCCTCCAGGCAGGACTTCTGGTCTGGTGCCATGATCAATAAGTCATCTACATATTGTAACAGGCTTATGTTGGGGTGTTGGCCTCTGTACTCACCCAGATCTTCATGCAGGGCGTCATCGAATATAGTTGGAGAATTTTTAAACCCTTGAGTCAGTCACGTCCAGGTCAGCTGGCCATTGATTCCTGCCTCCGGATCATGCCATTTGAAGGCAAAGTAAGGTTGACTGCTGGGAGCTAGTGGCAGGCTGACGAAGGCGTCCTTGAGGTCCAGAACTGTATACCATTGCCGATCTGGTGGCAGGGTACTGAGTAATGTATAAAGGTTGGGGACAGTGGGATGAATGTCAATGACTCTCTTGTTCACTTCCCTCAAATCTTGTACCGGTCTATAGTCCCCATATTGGGGCTTTTCGACAGGCAGGAGTGGGGTGTTCCAGGCAGACTGGGTCGTTCTCAGCACCCCCAGTTCCATTAATCTTCTGATATGTGGAGTAATTCCACGTTTTGCCTCTAGGGGCATAGGATACTGGTGCACTTTAACAGGGTCTGCCCCTGCTTTGAGTTCAACATATACAGGAGGCCTGTGTCCTGCCAGACCCATACCCCCTGTTTCTGCCCAGGCTTGGGGAAATTTTTGGAGCCAATCTGATATATCAGTGTTTTGTTGGATCAGCTCCTGATAGAGTCTATATTTCTCAGTCAAGTCGTTGGTGACTAAAACCTGGACCGGTGCCCCGTTGTGAAGCAGGGTGGCACCTTTAGCTGTGAAGTGGATCTGTGCCCTCATTTTTGACAATAAATCTCTGCCCAGAAGTGGGTAGG